GGAATAACATGAGAGCAGACCCACCAAGGCTGGAGACTGAACAATTCTGGAAGAGCATATGGGAGAAGGAGGCATCACATAACAACAATGCCCAATGGCTGATGGACCTCAGGGCAGACCACAGCAACCTCCCTGAACAAGATCCAGTAAGCATCACAATGGGACAAGTCCAAGAGAGGGTCTCAAGTATGAATAGCTGGACAGCACCAGGCCCTGACATGATCCACACCTACTGGTTAAAGAAGTTAACTTCACTCCATGAGCACCTGGTGGGACAAATGAACCAGCTACTAATAGATGGAACCCACCCTGAATGGTTAACTGCAGGCCGGATAGTCCTGATCCTGAAGGACCCTCAGAAGGGAGCAGTACCATCCAACTATCGCCCAATAACCTGCCTCTGCATAACATGGAAGCTCCTGTCAGGCATCATAGCAGCTAAGATGAGCAGGCACATGGCTCAATACATGAGCAGCGCCCAGAAAGGAATTGGTAGTAACACCAGAGGAGCAAAGCACCAGCTACTGGTTGATAAAGTAGTCACTCGAGACTGCAAGACCAGGCATACCAACCTGTGCACTGCCTGGATTGACTACAAGAAAGCCTTTGACTCAGTGCCTCACACATGGATCCTGGAATGCTTGGAACTGTACAACATCAACAGGACTCTAAGAGCCTTCATCAAGGACTCAATGGGAATGTGAAAAACAATCCTAGAGGCATGCAGACCATTGTGCTATGTGCATCCCTGCTCAATTGGCCCCTTTTGTGGAAAGCAGCTCACTAAGGGCCTGATCAATAGTTGGATACATCCGTTGAAGTGATGGTGGGAAAAGCTGTGCTGAACAAGGCCAGTGCGGGACCATCCATTGTAGCTATTACACTGTAAGAAAGCACTGCTGGGCTTTGTCATTCCATTCAAAGCTGGCTTGGTGATGTAGACAGGCATGGAGAGGTTCTACGACACCAAGATGGCACCGGTGTATGTGGCTTACCGTCTGCAGCTGTTATGTTTGTGGTTTGTCTTAATATGTCTTTTGCACTGTTTTCATAACACCTCATTTGCCTTGGTATATGATTGCCTTACCCTCAATTAGTATTAGGGCGTCAATGGAAAAGTTGCTCGTCTTCGAGCTGGGAAAGCCATCAAAGAGCCTTCCTCCATTTCTAGCAGCTGTTCCACCCAATCTTTGCTGTTCTTCCTGCGGTCTTCCACAGAGGAAGGGCCGTAGATGGGGAAAAAGAGGAGGGGAGAGGAGAGGACTTGGCTGAGGCACGGTGAATTGAAAACCTTCTCTGAACTCCTTCCACCAGACTGTACGTTTTTTAACTCTCTGAGGACTATGGGGAGAGGTGGTGGTGTCGCAATAATTTTTAGAAATTGTTTTGATTGTCAGCAAATCACAATGGATGCTTATTCCAGCTTTGAAACGCAGCTGTTTGTGATAAAGGTGAGCTGTCCTATTTTGTGTGTGGTAGTTTATCGCCCCCCTAAATGTATTAAGGATTTTATTTGTGATTTCTCTGACTTCCTTGCTGGAATTATGCCAAAATATGGCAAAATTTTAATTTTTGGAGATTTTAATATTCATGTGTCCTGTCCAGACCTGTCCAGGGTGTACCCCGCCTTCGCCCGATTGCCGGCCGGGATTGGCTCCGGCCCTCCCCCGTGACCCCGCTCAGGGAACAAATGGTAGAAAATGAATGAATGAATGAATGTCCTGTCCAACGGACCTGATGGTTAAGGATTTTATTGACTATTTTAATTTGACCCAGTTTGTAAGTGGGCCTACTCATGCTCAAGGCCATACTTTTGATTTGGTGCTTTCGCTTGGTGTCCCTGTCTGCATGACTGATATTTGCAATGTGGGGATTTCTGATCATTTGCCTGTTTCTTATTCTGTAATTATTTCTAGTATGCCTGCCCTGCAATGTCGCTCGATTACTCCAAAGACAGCTGACTTATTTTCCTCTGCCTGTAATGACTTACAGCCTCATATGTCACTGGATGCTGGTCATGAGACTGTAGATGAGCTATTAGCTCGGTTTAGCTCTACATGCACTGACATCCTTGACTCGTGTGCTCCTTTTAGGAATAAACAAGCCAGAATTAAGTTGGAACCTTGGCTAAATGAAAACACCCGTTCACTTAAACTTTTATGTAGGCGGGCTGAGCGGAAGTGGGAAAAAGATCATCTTCACATCTCGCTGGACATTTAAAAAAAACTGATTAAGAGATCAAAGTGCTGTCAAGAGTGCTAGAGCTCAATATTTTTCCAGCCTTATTGTGAATAATTGTCATAAACCCAGGGTGTTGTTCAGCACCATAAATGCGGTCTTATATCCATCTACTGCTGCTTGGACGGATGTGTCCTCTGCTACTTGTAATGCGTTTCTTCTATTTTTTATGTATAAAATTGTTATGATCAGGTCCCAGATTGATGAATCTGTTCTGGATCCTTCAGTTGCTCCTATATGCTCAGCTGTTTTTGACCAGTTTGAGCCTATGTCATTAACTGCTCTTATGAAGGTAGTTCAGCATTTGAAACCTTTTCACTGGCCTTTGGACATTATGCTGGCAGCTCTGTTTAAAGAGGTTTTTTATAGCATTGGTTTGTACACTGTCAATCTTGTTAATGGCTTTTTTGCTTCTGGGATTGTCCCAATGACACTTAAACATGCAGCGGTTCAACCAATTCTTAAAAAACCCAATCTTGATATTATAGTTTTATCAAATTTTAGACCAGCTTTCCATCCTATAGCACCATCGTTTATCTCTGCTTGTGTGTTTCTATGCTCCAGAAAGGACACTTAGGTCTTCTAACCAGTTGTTCCTGGAAGTACTGAATTCCAGACTGAAACATTGGGGAGACCGAGCTTTTTCAGCTGGGGCTCCTATATTGTGGAATAGTCTGCCACGGGATATTAGATCTGCTCCGAACCTGACTGTTTTTAGATCACTTCTTAAAACGCATTTGTATTCACTGGCTTTTAACAACTTCACTGATTGATGTATTTGTTTTGATTATGCATTTTTGATTATGCATAACAGTGGTGAACTTCTAACTTTGTGTCAGCAATTTGTGTTTTTCTGTTTAGTGTTTCAATATGACAGTGCTCCCATACTCAAAGCCAACTCCATATAGAATTGGTTTTCCCAGTTTGGTGTGGAAGAACTTGACTGCAATCTGCACAGAGCCCTGACCTTAACCTAAGCTAAACCTCAAACTAAAATGTAGTCTACAAGCCAGGATTTCAGCCAAAATGGAAGCAAATCCCTCTATAAAAGGATGTACATACTGTCTGTATACTGTATATAATCCCTATATAAAATATTGTATATAAATACATGTATGCATGCAGTAGATGTACAAATATGTACACATCATTGTATTAGCTTGACTGTGCAGTCCAGTAAGCTTATTTGATAAAAGGAAGTTGGCTGAGACAGGATATAATGGACTGTAATTGATAAAAGACTAAATATCGGCTTGATGCACACTGAAAACTGATAGATTATAGCACTTTATTGGCTGTCTCTGGGGGCCAAACAGGTCTTTGAATTACTGTGGCTGAATCATTACCTGGAACCAATCAATTCTCTGTGTTTATGTTTGAAGTACACAGCCATTTTTCCCTCGCCTGATTATAATCGTCATCAAAGCCACTGCAGCTCACAAGCCTTAACAGAGAATATATTTACAGTGCAAAACAGCCATGGCATGAGCATATGTGCACACACAGACACAAACATACACACACACACAATATACATATATGTATGTGGTAGATACGTGTGTGTGGGTTTGTGTGCATACATATACATATACGTATACATGCCACACGTACACTCTGCAGCCAAGTGAATGACGACACAAGACTCATCTTCCACTCACAAATACATACATACCTTTCCTGGAGGCTTCAAAGCTGTCATAGATGTTTATCCTTTGGATGTCGTAGGTGAGTGTGGTGTTTGGCAGTAGGGTTCTGTTCCTGTTGATTGTGTTTAAAGCAAATTTAAAGGCTAGTTCCTCAGCACCTGATGGGCCACTTTCAATGGACTCAAATATCCCCCCTGACAAAGACAAAGACAGGCAGCTGATTAGTGATTGATCAGGGTTGAACTGAAAAGATGCCTTCACAATAGCCAGTGGTCATAATCAAATAAAGAATTCCATTACACTAATTATATGAATCAGATGAAGAAGCTCAGTCAGAGTAAATTATTGTATTCAGAAGAAAGATGACTTACACTTTGAAACCTATTTTAATCAGCTTGACAGAAAAGGAAATGAAAATTTGTGAAATAAAATCTTTTGTCTACTTAAAGGGGAACTGCCACCAACCCAAAAAAATCAATACATAGTGTGTAATTTTTATCATAGCTGCTACATCAGGGGTGCCCACACTTTTTTGCCTTGTGAACTACTTTTCAAATGACCAAGACCACGTTCACACTGCAGGCTGAAGTGACTCAAATCCGATCTTTTTGCCCAAATGCGACCCATATCCGATTTCCTTATGACAGTGTGAACAGCGCAAATCCGATTTTTTCAAATCCAACCCAGGCCACTTTCATATGTGTTCCTAAATCGGACACGTATCCGATGTTTTGCAATGCGACTTCAGTCTGAACGGCCAGGTCGCATTTCATGCGATTTTTATTACATTGAAATGCGACAGACGTCACAATTCTGCGCTGGAGGAGGCGAGGGGTAATTAAAAAAAATGGCAGACAACGGTGATTCAGGTTGTGATAACGTTTCCCTTCTCACTCGAAAATTATTAATGAATTCTGTGTCCTTGAAGCCCCTCACGGAATCCCACCAGTCCTGGCTCCGACTCCGCACCCACACTTGAGCCACTGCTAAGCGGGTCCACTGCTCCACAAAAGGCCATAAGCAATATTTGTGCTCTCCTCCTTCTTGATGTTCTTCTTATTATTATTTCTTTATTTCAATTGCACATTAACTGGTACATCGCTACGCACATGCTATCACCAGCCACATCCATTTTTATTTCTGCAAACACAGTACGCTGCGTCTGACGTCACGTCCTCTTCTGCGCATGCGGGTCACTTCAGGACCGTATACCGTTCACACATGAGACAGATGGCAGTCGCATTTAAATGACAGTGTGAACAACAGCGCAAAAAAATCGAATTTCGGCAAAAAATCCGATCTGAGCATTAAGACCTGCAGTGTGAACGTAGTCTAAGTCAAAATGATCGACCTACACGCGCGCGGCGCGCGCACACACAAAAATATATGTATGAATCAGTGTTGTAGTTTTTATGAACAGTCTGAAAGTGCCTCCACATTTCCCTTCTTCGGAATAGTGATGGTATTTTGGTAGATAAAGCAAACGCATTTCGAATATAACGTCACGAAAAAAAGTCCTCCCATTCTGCATGGAATGTTTTCGATACGTTTTCGGTTTCTTACTTGATTCGGCTCCCCCCCCTCTCATTTTATACCCTTTTATACCCGAAAGCTGACAAGGTAGTTCGCTCCCTGGAGTTTTGCAGCAGCTCGTGCGGTTGACTGTGCATGTTTGGTGACTCGTGTGTCAGAAAAGACGAGATCTCAGACTGGCTGCCCTGCATGTCAATCAAGTAGCAAATGCCATAGGGAGGATGGATGATAGGCTATATATGAATGATTGTCACTTTCTGCTTTTCCTGTTAGGGGTCGCCATAGCGAATCATCACATTGACCATTCGCATGTTAACATTTGGCACGTGTTTTATGCCGGATACATCGAATTTATTTTTGAATGGCATGCGATCTACCAACACTATCTTTGCCATCGACCAGTCGATCGCGATCGACGTATTGGGCACCCCTGTGCTACATGATTAAAACCGGAGCGAGCTGCATCAACGTACGTAGATTGTTTATATTGCAAATATAATAATAAATGTGAATTCACTGTGTACTTGTATGCAACTTTATTAGCAGCTTCCTCGTAACATTGCGCCAACAACATAACATGAGTATAACATCAAAGTCTCAGTTTTCAGTGCTGTGGTGGCGATCTCAGGGTATTCTGTCATGACTTTAATCCAGAACACCGACAGAGTTGTTGTCTCGAACATACTTTTAAGGCCGCCGTCATTTGCGATCTCCAGCAAACTTTAGGAACAAAAAGCTTTCTGAGGAGCATCAGTAATGAGCCCCCTACTAATGTTTGAAACATGTCCAAAATACCTCTGTTGACGCGCCGTACGCACAAATCCAGTTTGGCTTTAAATGCAGCTACTTTATCTGCCAACTTGAAGACAGTTGTCATTTTCCCCTGAAGTGACAGATTGAGTTCATTCAGCAGGCTGAATATGTCCCCAAGTAAGCTAGTTTTGGCGCTCAAGTGACCGAGATGTAACCGAGAGAATGCGGTCATTTTTCAAAATAAAAGATCGTTCATACTCAGATAATAAATAAAACGGAAATAATTAATGATTTCTTGTACGGCCCGGTACCAATCGATCCACGGACTGGTACCGGTCCGCGGCCCGGGGGTTGGGGACCACTGCTGTAGAGGGTCAATATACTTGCCCAGCTGACCCCAAGCAAGTATACTGAGCACATTTCATTCATCCATCCTATAGCTGTGACCAAATAGCCTTGTAAACAACACCCTTGTGTATCACACAGGGGGGATTAGTAACTGTAGATTATTTACTACATTTCCATCTTTGCCACTACTTGTTACAGTGGAGCTTGTCACTGTTGACTGAGAGAAGCATTTTCGGCTACACGGATGCAGAGTGCAATGCTTCCTCATCAAAAGCTTAATAAAGCTCAGTGAAAACCAGAGAAATGATCAGAATCTGATTATTCAGTCATACTGTAAATAATACAGTAGGCTCCAGAGCGCTAGTTGTTATATTGTATATATCTTAGACTAGCAATCAAACATCAGAATCAGACACTCAGACTCAGCAGTGGGCCATGTGAACAGTGCTTACATTCAATTTCTGTTGTACATACTTAAGTGTACTTGAATGGTGATGTGACTGCTCAGCTTAGGCAAAAAAGTGAACAAACTACATTGTCAGTGATTACAAATCCTTGAACTGAACTGAATTAAGCAATTCACGTTAGCAAAGAGGTTTTTGATTTCCACCTCTCATGAACACTACAATAAAAATAATACTAATCCGAACATATACAATATGAGTAAAGAGAAATGTTTCTTTGTGGAGTATCTGCACTCTGCTACACATAATTTGGCTCTTCAGTTAACTCAGTTCTTCCCCAGGGAAGATACACCACTCTTTTATTGATCCATTGATTGTCATTTATGAGCACTCTCTTCCACTTTTCTTTCAAAGGAAAGCCCTGTTCAAGTAACTGATAGTTTAGTTTAGTGGTTTGAAGGAGATACAGTCACTGTCTGTTCAATGAAGTGTGATGAAAGTGTTGCTTCAGTACTAAGCACTCAGTGCAGGGCAACTACTGTAGCCTCTGGATTGGTTGTGCTATGAAAGTCACAACTTATATGAGAACATGTTCTTTTGCCATTTAATTTAGGATTAATGTAGAGTCTTTTGAGAGAACTGCTTGCCAGTACAGGTGTGAGGTTGCTGGCTCTGTAGGCATTTTCACACAACACCCTCATGTTGCTCTGCCCAGAATCTCATAATGAACAGATTAAACTATGTAATATTTAATCAGGGATCTACAGAGTAAACAGCCTCAGATTGCTATTATTAATGGCACATTCAGAATTCAAAGTCAAAATGTATATTTGTCATATGCACAGTTAGGAAACGTGTTTCTCTGTACAATGGAATTCTTACTTTGCCGTCCACATGAATGCCACAAAATGCAAATGAAATATACAGTAAAGTAGATAAATAAGTAAATCTAAGGCACTTTATGTCTCAAATGCAGAAATATGAGAAAAATATATAAGAATATAAAAAGAGAATGTATGCTGCATGGGAGCAGCATGTGCAGCAGTCAACAGTCAATGTGCAATTATGCATATGCTTCCATATCAGTTCTGGCACTGTCTTTATAATAACTAAAGTTTTATACAATTAGAATTTATGGTTGATGGGACATTCTGATCCTTATTTCCGTCACAACAATCACCACAGTTAATTCTGTTGGTTATTTTAAAGCAATATCTTAAGTTTAAAGCAGGACCTCATTATGTAGCTAGTGTGCTCAAAGCTACAGGGAGGAGTGCTCAGTTGCACAAAGCATCTCAATAATTGTAGGCAGTGAACAATGTCAAACTTAAAGAGAGACTGGACCACATTTCCCTGTGTACTTGTGCAGAAAAAAACAGCTCCTGGAATAAAGTTTGTGCTGCATGTTTTTCTGCCACAATGCAAATCTTTATGCTTTTATAAGTAGTGCCTATTTGTATATGATTGAACAGATTTATGAATGTGTATCTTTAATGAACACTTGGGATACTAATTGCTCCATGGTTGGCTGGGTAGTGACACTGATTTCAGCAGGTTGTGTGACATCTTTGTGTTTATACAGCATTTAAAGGGGTATAGCTCAAAGAAGAAAAGGCAAGAACTGTGACATAAAATGCATCAATCACTTTCAAATGTTATGCTCAGTTATCAAATGATTTTAATTCAAATGCTTGGCAGTCATATGAAATGGTTTTACTTATGTTTTTATGTACATATATTTTATATTTGACTACTTATACAATAAAACACATATTTCTAAATCAGTTGCTCCCTTGATAATTCAACAAGTTTTACGTCCAAGCCCTGAAGTGCCCCAACTGCCGATGCAGAAAATATAAATATAAAAAACACATATACTTAAGGCTGCAACTGACCAACCTTTTAATATCCTGGCAGTATATATAAATGTGCCCCATGATAACAAAAGCACCTAGATTCAGAGAAGAAGAGTATTTGAAAGTGCGGGCCTCCACAGGTCCAGGCCTCCAGTGAACACATCTTACAGCCAGCAGATGAAAGGACAGAGAGGACACCTGGAGAGTGTGGTGTGGGGAGAGGTGGTTTTGAGATCAATGTTCTCTGATTGGCTGGTGAATCAATCAGTCAAGCCCTTAGGGAGCAGTGGAGAGCAATGG